TTTCTGCGGTAAATAGATGGTCGTGCGTGTGGCTAGGCGTGATGTCGACGTTTACCACCTCAGCCACTCGCCCTATGTTCTTTTTTAGGCCTGCGACGTCGCCCGTGATTTTTTGCTCTAGGTTGGCCATACGTTCCATAATGGCGCGTGCTTCTTCTGCCGAGATGACTGAGCCAGCTACTCTCGACGCCTCTGCCCTTTGGACGTTAGGTCCGCCCCTTGCCTGCCCGCATGCCTGTACTGACCCTGAGTCTCCCGGTGGATTTCCTCCTGAGTTCTGGGGTAGTACCTCAGGGTTCCCCAGACCTCTCGCTATCCGGTCCTCAGGAGCCCGGAGCCCGATGTCCCTTAGACGGCTGCCGGAGGATTGGGAAGGTTGAGGCCTAGGATGGCCTCTATGGTTTTCGCTATCCCCGATTCCTTCTAGGTCATGTTAGCGGTCACCGGGGTTGTGGTTTTCAGCCATGGCAGCTCCCGGCAGCCTCAAGGCGTCTTCTAGAGGCGGCATAGAGTTCCTTCCGTCTAAGCGCTCGACTACGGCCATTAGTCCACGTACCAGGTCGGTTAGAGTAGCTAGTTGGGCCTGCATCTGTACAGGGTCCGGCCGCGGCACGTCTGGGGGCGGGACTTCATTTCTGACTGGAGGCGGAACCTCCTCCATCCCGTCATTCACCGGATGCGTGGCGGTTTCGTCCATTTGGCTACCTTGGTTGATGGCCTCAATCCTTCTTCTTAGAGGCATGCTTGCTGACTATGTTGTTGTTGGGGGTCAAACGCATGAACCAGAAATTCTGGGTTCGGTCCCTAGTGGAGTCGCCAATTGTTGACGGTGAAAACTCGTCAACAGAAATAGGCCGGGTCACCTCTAGGTATCCCGTTGGATTACCGGCTTGATATTGACTGTATACTCAGTTTATGGAGTGAAGTGTTTGTGGTATTTTTTGAGTGGTGAGCTATATAAGAAAAATATGCTGAAAGTAGAAGAACACGCGAAACTTACAGTGGTTCACTCTATTAATCAAGAGCTACATCCACTGTAGTTTTATATTCTTTTTTAGAGTGTTACAATTTACATCAATTGTTGCTTTCATTCTTTTCTCTCGGGGAAAACCAACCTCCCTTCTGTACGAGGCTTTGCCCCTTTTATAGCTGAGCTTCCTTCGTCGAGTGGGTTTCCTTTGTAGGCAGAAGCACTCAAGTGGTCTGCCTTTCTAGGCCCAGACCGTAGCCCACTAATCACTTTTGTGAACTGTTCACGCAGCCCATTAGTCTCCCATTACGGCTCTGTGTGTACCTGTAACCCTTTTCTGTTCGCCGTAGGGCGGTTTAAGGGTTTGCAATTAATGCTTGTACTGCAGACATCTCCCATTTCTGCACGCAACTTGCGGTGTCAGGCTTTCCCCTTGGGGCATTCCTCTCGTCGTCTCTATTTGCTCAGCCTAGTTGTCTTTCTTGGCAATTGATTTCCTCCCGAAAGATTCCCGCCGTAAGGTCGATGGTACGACCCGTCGTCATCACGAGGAGTCGGCGTCCTAAGTTGGGCTTCCTCTGCAGCAGAAGGAAAGGGAGTCCCTAACGTCGAGGGTTGTTGCCTTTTGAGGGAAAACAAGGCCACGTATCACATTGTTGTTTTTTCACGCGTCATCCACATTTTCTCACACAACAAAGACCAAAACCAATTTATAGTATCTCGTGAAGGTATAACAGCACATTCACCATTCCTCTTCAATTATGATAAGACTAAAGAGAAACGTTTTGGTATTTGACAGTTTTTAAAAACAAGCACAAAAAACCTCTGATTAGCCAAACGGCCAAACATATAACAGATTTTAGAATTCTCAGAGTTTTTTACACTTTTGCTATAAATACTTGTTAGGTGCGTTTAGAACTCATTATAAAAAATAATTTTATTTTTTATATGAAAATGGAAATAAATATGTTTTCAATATCAAATAAAATCATTTTTGAAAATGCACTTGATAGTTTTATTAAGAGATTGTTTTCAGTAAAAAAAAAAAAAAAAAAAAAAAAAAAAAAAAAAAAAAAAAAAAAAAACTCATTAATATCTCTCTTTTTATGCTCGAGAGAGGAGAAAACGAAAACAAAAAATAAAAAATGATTAAAAGTCGTTTTTCATTTCTCTCTTATTTTATACTAAACTAAAAAATTATTTTTATTTTTATTTTTTATCTTTAATTGTGCTAAATGTCGTTTTAAAATCATTTTTATTTTTTCTTTCTCAAAAAACATAAAAAACAAAAATAAGAACAATACGGCAATCGTTTCTTTGTCATTTCCATCACTCCCCCTACTCCCAGCCAACAAGTTTAATGCGCACCAAACCCCTTTCTTACTGCTCTTTTTGCTCCAAGGGAATATCTAAATGTGACTGAGATAAGTTTTGGTAGTGAGAAAGGGGATTCATGAGCAATAAGCTCTCTCCATTCAATTTGTCAATACTACCCATCTGTAAATATATATATATATATATATATATCAAAAACCAAATCTAGTATCTCATGAAGAGTATAATAGCATAATTACCATTCCTCTTCACTTATGATAAATTAAGCAAAAACGTTGCAGTCATTGATAGTTTTTAGAGGCAAGTACAAGAAATCTCTGATTGGTCAAACAATCAAAACACAACAAAATGTAATTTTTAAGAGTTTTTCACACCCTAAATATTGCTATAAATGCTTTTTTTTTTGTCATTTTTTATCACTCCCAGCCAACACAAGTTTATCGCTCACCAATCCCTTTCTCATGACTCCTTTTTATCTAGGGAGAGATCTAAAGCTGATCGAGAAAAGTACTAGTAGTGAGAAAGTGGCTTTGTGGGCAATAAGCTTGTTTGGTTGTGGGCAGGGGAGTGATGGGAAATGACAAAAAACATGTATTTATAGCAAAATTTAGGGTGTGAAAAACTCTTGAGAATTTTACAATCCGTTTCCGTTGTGTGTTTGGTCGTTGGGCCAATCAGAGGTTTCTTGTGCTTGTTTCTAAAGGTTGTCAAACACTTATAACGTTAGATTTTAAAAAAATTACTTTTAACTGTACTGAAGAAAAAAGTAACTGTTACAAAAATCAGCTGAGTGTTTGATAAACTATAATTATAGTAGCTGTGCTGGTTCTAAAATCAGTGTAATAGCGTTTGGTAAATTATGAGGTTGAATTGTTGTGGATAGTTAAAAATTACGATTATGTTATATTATACTATAATATAATATATATAATTACAATATAATATATAATTATTATTATATTTAATATAATAAAAACTATTATTAAATAACATATTATATAACTATGATATAGAATATAGTAATATTATTAAAATGGTTAACATAATTACAATATTATAAAACATATTATAATAATACATAAAAAATATTAATATTTCAGTTATAAGATAATTAAAAATTACAATAATATTATATTATATATTATATAATCATTATTATATTATATTAAATAAATATATTATAATTAATATATTATATAATCATAAGTGTGCAATACACTATAATATATAATAATATTAGAATTATAAGATTATATTAATATTTAATTATATTATTATTAATATAATAAATATAATAAATATAATATAATATAATATATGATAATATTATAAAATAATAATTATAATATCATATTATTAAAATAATTATAATATTATTAAAATATCATATTATATAATAAAATAATAATATTAGAGTTATTAATATAATTATGATATTATTTATTACAATATATTATTATAGTTATTAATATAATTATGATATTATTTATTACAATATTACTATTATATTATATTATATTATATTACGAGTCTGAATTTTAGATTGAAAAGATTGTAAATTTTAAATTTTATTAGGGGTATTATGGGCATTATGAAAAGTTCATTAATTGTACTATATTGATTCCCGCACAATCTAAAAGCTAAAGTTATTTTTAGGCTGCTTCTGATTTTGACTGTAGATTCTTAAAAAATTTTTCAAAAATCACTTTTGAGAATATTTACCAAACACTTAAATCAGCTTCTGTTACAAGCAGAAGCTAATTTTGGAAAGGAAAAGTAATACCAAACTAAGCCTAAGGAGTGTTGAATGTGCTATTATATCATTCATGAGATACTAGAGATAGGTTTCGTTTGTTTTTATTTTTCTTGGTTTTTTTTTTTCATATAGGTAGTCTTGGCATTTTGATGGAGAGAGTTAAAAAACATATATGTTTAGGCTGTCCTACTGGTAGGATCAATTTTTTGACTATTAGATATGATTAAAATCAAATGAGATTAAAAAAATATGTAGAACAAACAGTTTTTGATGCAGATTTGATAGCTGAAAACGGCTAAAAAAATGAAACGATTGGTAGTTTTATTTTTCTAATTCTACCGAAAAAACTCCCTATATTCATGATAAAAAAGTAAACATTGAAGTCATTTTGTAGAATTCCTTACTCTCCAAGGTCATGTTCATTTCGCTTATTCGAGTTTTGCTACAGTAAAAAGCTCTCACAAACAATCACATCTAACTTTTTTGCTACAGTAAAAAGCTCTCACATAAAATCACATCTCAACTCGAATCAGCGAACTAAACGGGCCCCAAGTGTACACAAATTATTCTTCCGTTTCAGGTTTTCTTTTCACACACATTTTCTTCTAAGTTTATGGTTTTCAACATATATCTAGTCAAGACATATATTTCAAAATTTTTTTTACTATTCAGATTTTCGCTTTTAACGGATATTCAAATATCAATTCAAATTGCAATTCAAACTACACTTTACAGATTTCACAGCCCCCTGGTTTGGTTCAGCAAATACGGTCCTTGTTGGACCCCGTTAATGGGCTAATTAAGGAGGCCCAAAAAGAGTGAAATGGAGATGGCCCAGATAAACAAATGCCTCGTGTTAGTGGAGCCCACATTCACCAAAATGACCCATTATGGCACCCACTGCTCTCTCTCTCTCTCTCTCTCTCTCTCTCTCCTATCGCTCGCAGTCGCACGTACAAACAACCGCTGAAGCAAAGCATCTGTCCAATTCAAAACGTTGAGAGAGAGAGAGAGAGAGAAGAGAGAGAAGGCAATGAAGCTTAGCAGAAGAGTCCAATTCGAAATCCGCTGAGACTCTGAACCGCCATGGACGACTACACGAGGGAGATGATGGACCTCAAAACCCTAGTCACTCGCACTCTCGAGAAGAAGGGCGTCCTCGCCAAGATCCGGGTACAACCCAACTTTATCCTCATTTCCGTTTTCTCTCGATTTCGTTGTTTTTCTTGCGCAATTTCCCTTTCGGATCTTCTGAGACTTCGCTCGGAGCCGATCCCAAACTGGAAATTTGAGCTTTTTGTTTTGTTAATCGGAGGAGCTGGTGTTGGTTGTGGTGTTTAGTTGTTTCATCTTCTACGGTTTTGAACTTTGCGAATTTGAAGTTCAAATAGATACATAAAAACCGTTCTGTAAAAGGAAATCATAAAAATGAAGCTTCAAATTTTACGAGGACGGTCTTTATTTAGAAAGTTTAAGCTTCGATTTGAACAGTGGGATATATTAGGGTTTCTTAGAAGGTATTGGATTTCCCATGGTTCTTGCTTTATGGAGAAAAAAAATCTTATTTCATTTCATCAAGTTATGGTTATTGGGTTTTTGATTTTTCAAGTTTTGTTAGATTAATTGGGTTTGATATTGGTAGGCTGAGCTGAGAGCAAGTGTGTTTGAGGCAATCGAAGAGGAAGATCGTGTTATTGAGAAGGAAGAAGGTTTGCCTCCTGCATTACTTGGGAGCTGTAACGATCGTGCCAAACAACTTCACGCTTCTCCTTCAGGTTCCCTCTCTCTCTATATATATATATATATATAAATTTCTGTTTTCTTTCTCTCCATCTAAATTGGTTGGTAATTAGCTTTTGGCAAGTGGGCTGTCATTTCAGCTCAAGTGGTGGGTTTGTGTGATGATTGTATCGAACTCCCATATCCATTTTACCTTGGCTGGGAAATATGCAGGTTAAGGTTGACTTTTTGAGCAATATCTGGTCGTACCGTGCATCAGCCGTTGGCTGATGGTCCATAGGGATATGAGCCGTTGGTTACCTTTATTTATTTATTTTATTTTTTTGGTGAAGTTCCACTTGATAAAAGTAACTCAAACTTCTCCGGTTCATGTTGATTTTTCGATCGTAAATTGCATGCGCGGTTAGATCAGAAAAAAGACTGGTCGTACTTAACAAGTTCTAGCCTAAAGTATGTTCTGAACTATACTGTGAACAGAGTTCAGAAAAGAAAAGTTTCATTCCTTTTTTTTTTTTTTGCTTGAAATTTGATACTTATTTAGAACCTAAAGTTTGCAATACTACTAGAAACCTTTTGCTTTAGATTTTATTTGGTTTGATTAAGAAGAAAAGGAAATGATGTATTCTGTGCAATTGTTTGTCAAGATAAGAAATGGAGCAATCACTAATCGTTGTCTTGTAGAATTGACTTCCCTGCTCCGGACATGAATTTTAAGACGCTGTCTTTTCCTCTTAGACTTTGATTGATAGGAAAATAAAGATGAACTCTATTTCTGCATTCTGCTGTATGCTTATTCCTTTAGATAATGTACAATCCCGTGAATGTCATTAACTGTTTCCTTGTCACGTTTCATTGATTACTTTTTCTTTAATCTCGTTGTGATATTTTTAACATGTCACTGCATCTGGGAATTGTTATCTTTGGGAATAGTTATCTTTCTGCCATGTTTCTTATTGCAAACTCAAAGTCGATGGGAAAGGAAGATGTTCATTAGATATTTACCTTTTCTAGATTCACCGTCTTTCAATGCACGTCTCTATACAAACAATTTCCTACAAACTTTTCAAAAAAAAAAAAAAAAAAACGAGACACAGGGAGAGATGTTTGATCTATAGGTTAGGATCTTCCTGCATCTATCTCAGACCAAAAATCCTTGATAGGTTTTCTTGACCAATTTCGTGCGAGATGTGGAATTGATAATGTAATTAAACACGTAATTCTTGTTTTTAGAACATGACATACCGACAATTAAGCTTTTTTGGTTCCAAGTCTTAGGATATTGTGCAATGTTTCATTCTATTTTAATTACTGTCTGATTTTCAAACTGCAGGAAGACTGCTTACTGCATTAATATGTGAATACCTAGAGTGGGCGCAACTAAACCACACAATGAAAGTTTATCTGCCAGAGTGTAATTTGGTAATCAAGTAAATTCTTTTCTGCATAGCAGCGCTGCAATTGTTTAATTAAATTTTGATTGCTATGCTTGGTGTTCCTTTGGAAATGATTGGTGCTCCAATTTTACAATTGCAGCAAAAAGATTTTTGGAAAACTGAGTTGAAAGAATTTAGTAGCAAGAACGGGTATGATCTTAACAGAAATGGAGATAGCGGTCCTTTGCTTTTGGACGTGCTTGAAGGGTTCTTGAAGTTCGAGGTCTGGTATTTGCCTTTTAAGTGCAGAGTTTCTATTTTTGTTTTTTTTTTTTTTTTGTTTGATAATGTCCAACTGTTTTTTGCCAACAGAATTTATCCCAAGCAAGGGGTACTGGAAGGAGGTTAACCACTTCAGAAACAGAGTCCTTATCGAATCTAGAGTCTCGTAACACTCGAAGGCCATCATCATCTGTTGCTGGTGGCCTCCCTCCTCTGGGAAGGTGTTTTTCCTACTTCAGCTTTTCTTTTGTAGTTTCATTTGCTTTCTGCCTTTTGTTTTTCCATTCTACTTGTAACTCATTGGTTTTAGTTCGTTGGTCTTCTCATACCAGGCCTCTTCCTGCTTCCCAGTCATCTGGTAAGTAATAAAGCTGCTTTAATCTCTGGCTACCTATATGATTGCAATCTTCTGATAAATTTTAGCATTCAGATAGGAGAGGTGGATCCTCGATGTCCGGCTACAGGAAAGATGAGTATAATTGGAGATATGACACTGATGAAATTCCGGAGGATGTAATCCGAGCTTCAGCTGCCATGGAAAACCTTCAGCTGGATAGAAAAGCTCGAAATCTAACTACATCTTGGCGGTTTGTTCTGGACCCTTATTAACTATATTTCTCAGTTATTCTTTCCTCGAGATTAGACTAGCGTAGAATTGTCCCAAAACATAGTTTTAATGAATAGGCAACACGGCCAACATGTATCAATTACTTAGAAAGTGATATATTTCGTGAAATAATTATTGTTCACTTTGTGGTTAATAACCAAAAAAGCCATGAAAGCAGGCTTCCAAAGTACTCTGGTTACAGATTTCGTCTGTGAGGGCGTTGTTATGACAAACCCTTACAATTGGCTGCAGGCATGCAGGGGATGGACTCGGTGAGGATGATGGGCAGGTCTGACCATATGTAGCTGAGTGATTACATTACATGCTTTGCATTACTAGTGTATTTTATCCTGTATTTTAACTCTTCACCATTAATTCTCATCAAATGAGTAGTGATGTTATGTAATATGTATTATGACGTGATTTTAGTGCTTTTGTCTGAGTGCCTTAGTTCATTTTTTGCCAATTTGAGATGTGTGTTTTTGTTTGTTTATATATATATATATATATATATATTTTTTTTTTTTTTTTTAATACTAGCGAAATTTCTTGATGAATGTATGTGTGAACGCTTGCCCTTTTAACTTTTTAATTAGCCACCATGCCCACTGGCCACTACCTACGTAAGCTATTAGCTTCAAACTTCCTTTATTTTATTTTTCATTATGATAATTCTAATATAAAAGCAATGTACAGTTCAATTCTCAAAGTTTCAACTTATTTTTGTCATACATACGTTCCCTTGACCTTAAAAGTCCTAGAAATATAATCTTGTTAAGCACACTTGTCATCACGTTTAGCTCTACTTTATTCATTAAACAACGCGGACTTTATGAATTAAATGTTCACTAACATTTTAGGTTCAAGCTTAACCTAGAGTCTCAAATATTAAAGCGGAAAGTGGATATGGGAAATGGACATTTACAACTTAAATTTTTTTGTTATAGTATTTTTTCTCATAAAAATTAAATTTAAATTTTTCATTATATAGTGTTTAAAATTAGTTTTTCAACTCAAATCTTTTACTTGAACCTGTCCATTCATATTTTCTCCCAAATCTGGACTGGACCTTGTTAAATATGCCACCGAATTTCCAAGCAGTTGATATTGCTTTTTATGCGTTTAGCAACAAGCACCTGGCCAGATTTTCCATGATAAATTTGTCACGTGTTCAGAAGTTTGTCCTGCTTTGCTTGCTACTTGAACATGTGATAGTACCCTGTGATCATTCGATCAGGACAGGAGACATGGCTGTCTTCCGGAGACCAACTAATGCTTAACCATTTGCACGCACTACACGCATTTATTCAATACGTTGTATTTTTTTGTATATAAATATTTTAAATTTCTTCAATTTTTTATTGATTTAGTATTCTTTTAAGAGTTTAGTTTGCAAAATATAAAAATTAAAAAATTTAAGTAGAGCATAGTTAAAAGAAAAATAAAGTTTTTAGTGGAGTAAATTAGAAAATAAATTATTTATGAAAAATAGTATTTATGAGAGTTATAAGGAAAAAAAATATTTAAGTAGACATACATTTGAGAAGATATGGTACATTTGAGAAGATATGGTATCAGTAAAGTAATTAGGAAAAAAAAATATTTTATAAACGCCGCATTTGAAAAAAGAATATTGAGTAGACTTATATGTGAGAGAAATTATTTAAACGAAGATAAATTAGAGTAGCTTTATTTATGAGATAAAATAGTAGTTGAGAATAGCACTAAGAAAAAAACATATGTAAATATGGCTATAAGAAAATTGTTTCGAGAAACACAAAAATAGGGGATTAAACTGCAGAACAATCTTTAATAAAAAGGAAAAAAAAAGAAATATATTTAGAATAAATTATTTTAGTAAGTGCAAAGCGAGGAAACAAAAGTATTTTAAAGCAACACGTCTTAAACAAAATTAAATTGAATAGGAACTTTGAGAAAAAAAATAGAGAAAAAAGATAAAAAGAAAATAAGGAAATGAGGTTTTCTCTATTGTGGCCATGCGTCAACCTCTCCTTCTTTCTTTCATATTTTGTCTTTTGAATGAGAAAATTTCATTTAATAATTACATCAATACATACTCTAAAATAGTGGTAAATGACTACCACATACAAGGGTTTTCGACCGTGAAAAAAAACTGAAATCCATCAGTAAAGACAAATGAGGCACAAAGGCGAATATGGGTACCAAATCCCAATAGAGGAAGATGAGGCACAAAGGCGAATATGGGTACCGAATCCCAATAGAGGAAGACTCACTCGGCATATTAACAATCGAGCACGATAAAATCTCGTTTAACAAAACCACTACAGTCGATGAATAAAATCAATAAACTGAGACCAAAAGACCCAGAGCACGTAGGTCACTCACAACACCATATAGGATCCCTAACAGGATAAACCTACCACCACCATAGAAAGGTGGGACTACAACTTTCGTTATTACATGACGAAAACAAACTGAAATGGAAGAATCAACATCACCTTTATTACATCAAAATATGAAATAAAAACGAGATAAATTTCCTTAGCCCCCACAGACAAGATCCTCGATGATAAGATGACCACTAAAATCATAAACCATAGATCGGTGAGGACCCACAAGACTCCACCACAGATGTTGAGTGCTTATCCACGCACAATTCCCCCTCCATGACCACCGTGATGAGAAGAGCGAGATCATGAGATTGTAGATACGTCAGAGATCTAACATGTAAAACATGGTCGCCAAAAAAGGGCACATCTTAATCCCTCCCCTACGTCCCCGTCTTTAGGGCCTAGGGTCCGACGACCAACTAAGCGGCGGAACTAGACTCTGGCCTTAAAAGAGAAAAGCGAACAGCGTACAAAGAAAAGAAAGAAATTCTAAAGAGAGAATGGGAGAGAAAGAAAAGGAAAGCGTTGGAGAGATTTGACAGTAAATAGTTATGTTTTGTTCTTTGTGTATCACATTTTCTAATTATTTCATTTTTTCTTCCATCATTTGTTCCTGTTTTCCCTTTTTACTTAAAGCTCCTATACAATTCATTTTTTATGATGTATTTTTTTGAAATACTTTTTTCCCTACTTTATTTCTTTCCAATGTATCCTTACTTTTTTTTTTTTTCAACAGCTCATGAACATTGCAATTGTTTTTCGGCGTGCTTTTTGGAAATAATTTTTTTCCCCGCGTTTTCCATTTAAATAATTTATTACAAATGAGTCTACTTAATTTTTTCATGTAATATTTTTTATATATCAACAATGATCTTATAAATATATATTTTTTAATTGACCCACTAAAACAATTTTTTCTCAAACATCTTTCTTTTAGGCAGCTTTTTAACGCAACACTTGCTTGTTGTTTTGATAAAAACCTTTTTTCTAATTTATCATTGTTAAGGTATTTTTTCTTAAATATGTCCCTATTTTCACCTTGAGGACAAGATGCAAGTTTGGGTGGCGGGTAATGATAAGCCACCGGTGCATTTCACTTACGTGAGGAGGAATAAAAGGCAAGGGCAAAAAGGGAATTCTGTAGAGGGGCCGCCTAATGTAGAGGAATAGGATGTAGGAATAACGGTTTTTAGGGGGAAATAAGGGGGATATAAAAGAGTGGAAGTAGATGAGGGGATTAGAGATTTTATTGTGAAGAAATTGGAGAGTCTAGGTCGAGGGAGAAACCTCTGTGTGTGTGTGTGTAGAGTGTTCGAAAAGATTCTCATTGAATTCTTCCGATTGTTGTTCAATTCAATAAATTCTTGCTTAATAAGATTATTACCTGCGATTCTGTATCAGAAACCTGAAAAAATGGATATAAATAAGTAAGTGAGTGGAAAAGCAAAGAAACATGATAGAAAGGCGAATAAAAAGGGCAAAAAATAAGACCAAAGAAAAAAGCAGTAAAAGAAAAAGAAAAAGAAAAGAATCAGAACAAATTCATACAACATAGATATTACAGTATTTTTATATAATGATCATGGCTCAAGTATTGAATTTTTCAACGTGTGATGAACAAATAAACTTATATGTTCTACATAAAAGCAGCAAAATTTCATAACATATTCAATCCATCACACGGATTATAAGTCTGTGACACAAAGAAAAAGTAATTGGAGGAAGATATTAATTTTTCCACGAACTACTAGGTGAATAAGGAGAAAAAAAGAAAAAAATAGAACGGAAGAAAGTAAAGCATCATATGCAAAGAAAAGTACGTTAAACAAAGTAAAATTTAATAACAAACAAAGCAAAATTAATATATATATATATATCAACTTAAATAACATTTGGATTGATTACTGGTCCAAAGAAAGTAAAAGTATAAGAATAAGGCAAAAAAGAAGGAAAAAGACATGGTAAAAAGATTTTGAATCAAAAAACATAAACAAAAAGAGGGCAAAATAAAAGAACCACATTCACGGTAATCTTTGGACAAATTATATCAAACTCAATGTATCAAAATTATTTATAATCATCATTGCCATGAAGAAATAAGAAAGAGAGGGAAAGAAGAATCAGGGGAACAAAAAGAACCAAAAAGAAAGGAATAGAGAGAGGAAAAAAAAACATCAAAAAAGAGAAATTAATTACAAAAGATATAAAGCAAAGGCATTCATTTAAGTATGTTAACGTAAAACAGATAAGTTCCAAGTAAATATGTCAATATTATCAAGTAATATATTAATGTTATTAAATAATAATAAAACAGTGAGGATAATATGAAAAAATAGATATAAATAAGTGAGTGGAAAAGTAAAGAAAACAGGAAAGAAATGAGTAAAAAGGACAAAAGAAAATACAAGGAAAAAAGAAAAGACAAGAATTAGAACAAATTCATACAACATAAATATTACAGTATTTTTATATAATGATCATGGCTGACGTATTGAATTTCTCGTCAACATGTGATGAACAAATAAACTTATATGTTTATAGGCACTTTATGGCTACTTATTATGGACAATTACAAAAAAGCACCAAATTTCATAAGATATTCAATGCATCACACGGATAATAAAGTGTGTAGCACAAAGAATAAATAATTCGAGTAAGATATTGATTTGTCCAGATGAATAAGGCAAAAAAAAAAAAAAAAAAAAAAAAAAAAAAAAAAAAAAAAAAAAAAAAAAAAAAAAAAAAAAAAAAAAAAAAAAAAAAAAAAAAAAAAAACCAAACAGAAGAAAAGAAAAAGATAGAACTGATCAAAATAAAGTGTACAAACAAAGGAAATTAATATATATATATATATACACACACATACATATATATATCAACTTAAATAACATTTAAATTGATTACTGGTCTAAAGAAAGAAAAAGTATGAGAATATGCTAAAAAATAAGGAAAAAGACATGGGAAAAGATTTTGAATAAAAAAAAAACGTAGACAAAAAGAGGACAAAATGAAAGAACTACATTCACAGCAATCTTGGGAGAAATTATATCAAAGTGTCAAAATTGTTTATAATCATCATTGCCATGAGGAAATAAGAAAGG